TGACTTTCTGCTACAAAAAGCACAAGTCTCCAACAGCTGAGAAAAAGGAATCGTTAGAAGTGGTAGGCTCTTATTCTTTATATGGGCCAACCACTAGAAGGAGACATAATCACACACACACTTAAGTCAGCATATTGCATATATTGCACAGAGGAAGAAAAATCTGTGAGATAATCTGACTCGCTCAAAAAAGGAGTAGCTAAATTTTAACAATGTTTCCAAGGAAAACAATTATTGCCACTTTACCTTTATCTCAGAGAGATAATGTCTTTAAAGGTCTATTACAACACACAGTCTTACCTCAGGTACAGTATATTGCCAATGTATTAGATGCATCTCATAATCTCATCGGTAAATTAATTTTGAACTTACTTGATGAAAGAATTCCATCAATAAATTCCTGCCTTGTTATCTTTCCATCCTGATCTTTATCAATCCTCCTAAAGAAGTCCATTACTCGAGATTTCTTATGGTTCATCCATCGCATATACTTTTTCCGCCAGATATCAAAATCAAAGTTTGCAAATTCCCTCAGCTTGAGGAAAGAGAGATAAGAGATACTTTTCAAATTTTAATAAAACATTTACAATATAAGTGAAGTCACATTGACATGTTTTTAAATAACTGGCTCTTTATAATGCCCACAGTTGTACTGGTTTGATTCTGTTTATCATTATAATAGGGCTAGCTGCTTTTTGCACATACATGTCAAAATGTTTCTATCTAACTGTACATAATATAACAAAATTGTCAGGCTGGCATTACTACACTTTGTCACAGGGCATGCAGGGTTAAACAACAATATACATTGTATATCATATATATGCTGTGTCTGCTGACCTCTTCCAGTCTATCCAAAGCATCGTTCAATTTTCTTCTTCTTTCCAAGGCCAGAAGCCAGACTTGCTGCCATTTGCTGACTAATAAGTTCACCCTTGGATTCTTGGTCTCAATTTGTGCCTGTGCTCCTGATGGATACATGCCTGTTGTTGGGGAACGTTTTCCTATTAAAACAATACAAGTTAGCATACGCTTATTTTTCTCCAAGTCCCAACCAATTTAAAAGACAGTGTATATTTATGTGAATGATGATCAGCCTCTTTAAAAAGACTCCTTTCTGCAACAAAAAATTAGCCAAATCCTGATCCCATTTTAGTTAATGGGAGTTTTGCTTTGGCCAGTGTAAGACAACATGATGATTAAAACACCCGGCCTTCCAATACTGTCTATACCTATGAATACCAGTGAAGAAAAATGTACATAAATATTTCTACTCCAAGTCAGGTCGAAGAGAGCATTTCAGAACAAATAGCCTCATTTTGGAGATAGTGTTAGAGACAGAAAAATTTAATCCATCTCCTCATGTAAGTGTTCATGTTACATGAAACTAAGCTGCAAGACCTAGTAAAATCCATGTTGTTTCATGTATAATAGGAGAGAGGGAATTCATTAGGTGGTGCTCTTCACAACCAATCAGCACTGTATTGTGCTACTGTGCAGCTATATATTTTATCTTTTGGATGAGTCAGTATATAAAACAACAACAAACCCACCTTTACCAGCTAAAGACCATTACAAATCTCTTGGCCCTTTACACAAGAGGGGGAGTGTTGAAACACAATAGGGTTGAAAAATAAATGAATATTGTAAGTGATGTTTTCAAGGAAGCCTCAATCCAGCCTTTCATAGACTCATACAGTTGGAAAAGAACTCAGGAGTAGGGATGTGAATGACTAGTCGCTTCCCCACCTTGCTGCCTCTATCTGAAAGAGGCAGCAAGGTGGGAGGGAGGGCGAGGGGGGAAGGAGAATGGGGTGCTTCAAAGCGGCAGTGCCGCGTGGAGGCCAGGGCAGATCCTGGGGTCCATGAGGCACTTCTGTTTTGAAACATTACATATAGCCCAATGCCAACTGGGGAGTCCATGCTCCCTGCAGCACTGGCCCCGTGCTCCCCTGCAGCACTTTCGCCTTTGAAAAGTGAAAGTCGATAAGGGTGCCTCACTTCAAAAGCGGAGGCGCCCTTATCAACTAATCGAATAGTCGATGCAAATTGCATAGACTATTCAACTAGCTGATTAATCTAAATTTAACATCCCTACTCAGGAGGTCATCGAGTCCCCTGCTAAAAGCAGGACCAATCCCAACTAAACCATCCCATCCAGGGCTTAAAAACCTCTAGGGATGGAGATTCCATCACCTCCCTAGGTAACCTATTCCAGTATTTCACCATCCTCATAGTGAAATATTTTTTCCTAATATTCAACCTAGACCTACTCCACTGCAACTTGAGAACATTGCTCCTTGTTCTTCTCATCTGTCACTACTGAGGACAGTCTCTCTCCATCCTCTTTGGAACCTCCCTTCAGGAAGTTGAAGGCTGCTATCAAATCCCCCCTCACTCTTCTCTTCCGTAGACTAAATAAGCCCAAATGCCTCAGTCTCCCCACATGAGTCATTTTTGTTGGCTTCAGTTGGACTCTCTCCAATGCATCCACATCCTTTCTGTAACGGGGAGCCCAAAATTGGATTCAATATTTCAGATGTGGCCTCACCAGAGCTGTATAAAGGGGAATAATAATCATTTCAATTTTGTTTCCACAATTTTGCATGCAAAATGATTAGCACTCCCCAAATGGTCATATGCTGGCAAATAATTGGCATATACATACTCTTTGCAAGTATTAGTTCTATATTTAAGTTAACAAAAATCGACTATTAGCACAGGACAACACAGTACACACAAAACCCTACATATCTAAAATTAGCATCAGATCATGAAAATCAGCAGAAATGTGAAGAAATAAAGCATTAATACTGGAATGTGTTATTATTTTTATCAATAAGAATCAGTTTTCTGCTATTATTCTGGTAAAGAAATATGTTTCCACTATGTGAGAATTGAAAGTTACACTAGTCATTTATGAAGGCTAAGAGGTATTCAAGACTTATTAAAGATAAATTAAAATAATTTACTCTGTATTTTGGGAAGGAATTAGTAGAAATTAAATTACAGTAGATGTTATGTTTGCCTTGTACATATTGGCACAATTAATTAAAATTGTGTTACCAAGCAGATACATTATTCTCCATGAAAAACATACAACAAAGTAGTTAGAGAAATCAGTGGAGGAATAATTTCACCTTGTTTTTACTAGACTGTTCTGATAGTAATGATACCCAATTGTATTAGTTTACAATTATATTGGAAGAACAATGTATGGCATACCCAAGAGATTCTATTACTTACTTCCTGATCTCCCTTTATCCAGCACGGGAATATGAGACTGTATTAGAGTGGGTTCAGTTGCTTTCCTTTTGTAGATCTTTGTGACTTTATCCACATCAGGTTGTTTTCTAGTCATTTCCTCCATAAATGTCTGCAATTAAATGGTAGCTGCTTTAATTATCAATGCTCAAGAGCAACTGGCAAGAAAGACAAAGAAAACAGAATACAAAGTACCAGAGGGGGCAACTACTTGTCAGGAAAATTACAGCAGGAGACACATTAAATATAAAATAGTTTCCAGCTAAGAGATATCACCTATATGAACATCTACCTACTTTATGGAAGAGCTGCTAAAGGAAATCTACATTTAAAAATGCAAAGCCATGGTGCACTATGGTGTGATGTGCAAGAGATGGTGAATTCAAGAGCAGCCCTGGGTTCTTTGCCATCCAGATTAACAGACACAGCTCAGAGGAGAGTCAATTATGATCTGACATGATGCCAGGATGGCCACTTGCTGCACACGCAGGTCCCTGAGCCATTGCATAAAACGTGGTTTGAAATTCACTTAGCAAAGCAGACAATGATACGTTGGCTCTGGGCAGCAGCACTGCCTGATACTTCAGGTGTTTTTCAATGATCAGTGTCCTTGTTCCTAACAAGCTGGTACGTTTTTAAAAGACTGTTGTATTTTCATTTGTTTGCTTTGCTTGAGCAAGTCTGGAAGCAGTCATAGGGATAGTGAATACGCAATTGGGTCTCTGGAAATATACTGTAAATAACTAGAATAGGCTCATGTTTGATTATATAGCAAATCTAAGATACACATGTCCATACAAAATCTTTAAGACGTGTTTCACATTTTGCATGCCTTACCTGATGTTCAGCTATGAGAGCTTTAACTCCCTCGATTTCTTGGGGAATGACCTCTTTATCTTTTTCACTAAGAGTAGTCTCTGCCCACTGCAACCAGGACAACAAGGCTTCCAACAATTCCTGCTTAGCAATAACTCCAGCCAGGGCTCCTGCCAATCTCTGCTGATGTTGCTTTGCCCATGCTAATACCTTGATAAAAAGTCAAAACATGAATATTTCCACACCTGATGTGTTTCTTTTGAAAGTACCCACTTGCTCCTATTCCAGAGCTCCCTCCCTCCCTTCCTGATTTAAACACATGTCAAGGTTATCAGAGGTTCTGAGCACCTGGAGTTCTTAGTTCAACCACATTTAATTATAAGCATTAACCGTTAGGCCTGTTTAAATTTCCACAACAGTGTCCTCTTGCAGCACATTAAGCACTTAATCCTACTCACATGAATAGTTCTACTGAGAACACTGGAAAGAATAGGATAAGCGGGTCAGGTATATAATCAAGTCCCCATTTCTGGAAGCTGTATTTGGCTATTATTTGTTTCCTTTAAACTATAAACACAGACACAAAACTGCACCTCCAGAACATGAGCATGTATTCTCCATAGCATGCCCATTAGGGCTTGACAACATGGCACTGCAGTCCAGACTACAAAAGTATGAACTGTAGAAGTTTTTTAATGTGTTGCCCTTCAGCTATCCTGTTTAGACCCTACTGGAGTGAACTAAAAGCTACCTAGCTCATGTTATTACAGTCCCTTTTTTGTGGCAGATAGAAGCTGGTGAACAATTTGGAAATCACCACTAGGGCATTTTAAGAATATTTTGGAATCTACTAGCTTCTAACTGGATTATTAACGAGCAACAACTATAGACTACTTTGTATACTCCCTCCTGATTTTTAAAGCAATATACAGCAAAACTATTATCCAACATTCAGTTAACCAGAAAGCTCAATTAAACAGCATTCCTGATATCTCCCAATACAAATCTTCCATCTAGTAACCTGGATTAGTACACTGCCCAACATGTTATACAAATGCATATTCTGCATTTTACTTTTACACAGAAGACAAGTAAGCAAGCAAGTTGAAATCAGGGATTTATTCAAAAAAGCAGCTTCCAAAGTGAAGGGTCATTACAGACCAAGATCATAGCTATGGATGGGCCTGAGTGGGCCATAATCTACCTACTTATATACAGGCTTACCCAAACTGGAGCCACTTATATACAGGCTCACCTCCGAATACACAGGCTGGGAATCCTCACCTCACCTAGGTATCTGTCAGTCTGGCCACATGCTGCCGGTGCCACATGCTGCTGCCCCCTAGCACTAGCCCCATGGTTAGGGGAGTGATGTGACCAGATAGGCAGACACCTAGCTGGGGTTAGTAGTGGGGGTAGAGCTTAAGCCCCCGTGGGGCCTCTTCTGCCCCAATGGTGCAACCTGCAGCCTGTATGCCTCAGGTGACTGCTGAGTAGTCAAGGTATGTGGGGTAAGGCAGATTCCCTATCCCTCCTGCCTCCTCTTGCCAGGGCACTCGATCTCTCCCCTTTCTTCTCCTCTCTCCAGAACATCGATCCCTCCAACCCCCATCTCCTTCCTGCCTCCTCCTCCACCTTCCCCCAAGCTCCAGATCCCTCCTACACTGCTTCCATCTCCACAGGGCCCCAGGTCCCTCCTACACATCTGAACCTTCCTGCCCCAGATACTATAAATTTGCTGGAGAGAAATAGGAGGTGGTATTTCCTTACCAAAAAAAAAAAAAAAAAAAAAGTATGAACATCTCCTGGGCTACGTCTCTATATCCATGTCCACCTCAGTCCAAGGCTGTGTCCAGACTCAGGGGGCTCGTCTACACTGGCCCCTTTTCCGGAAGGGGCATGTAAATTTCACTCGTCGTCGTAGGGAAATCCGCGGGGGATTTAAATATCCCCCGCGGCATTTAAATAAAAATGTCCGCCGCTTTTTTCCGGCTTTTAAAAAAGCCGGAAAAGAGCGTCTAGACTGGCCCCGATCCTCCGGAAAAGGGCGCTTTTTCCGGAGGATCGGGGCCAGTCTAGACGCTCTTTTCCGGCTTTTTTAAAAGCCGGAAAAAAGCGGCGGGCATTTTTATTTAAATGCCGCGGGGGATATTTAAATCCCCCGCGGATTTCCCTACGACGACTGCTGAAATTTACATGCCCCTTCCGGAAAAGGGGCCAGTGTAGACGTAGCCCTGTAGTTTTTCTTTTACTTCTCAAAAACAGAATAAAACTTGGCCTCTTCACATCTGCTAGAGTAGGTATTTAAAATAGTTTTGTCATCAACAGCTGGATCATTTCCTCCAACAAAGCAGTCTTGTTAATTTCCAACTATGTTCTAAACTATCAAAGAATGCCTGTTACAATGGAGGTTGCATGAGACATACTGACCTCTTCAAATCTGGCTCTGATGATTGTTATCCAGTGCTTAATGGTAGTGATGGAGTCTGGGTGGCAGATAGCCAGGATGGCTTCTCCCATACCTGCTGATTTATTTAGTTCTGCCTTTTTGTCTTCCAGCTTCCTCATGAATTCCTAAAGTAGAAACAATGCTTTCAGTTAGATGCTGGCACCAGTTGAAAGAAAAAGCTGAGTAACTTCAATGAGTGTTGTCCAAATCTGAAAGATTAAAGTCCTCCACTGGATCATTCACAGTCCAAACCGATTCAGTGGGCAGAGTGGGAAAAAGTAGGACAAGAGACAAGTTCAATTCTTATAAGAAAAGTTTAGAGAGACAAGGTGGGTGAGGTAATATGTTTCACTTGGTCAACCTTTGTTACTGAAAGAGACAAGCTTTTGGGCGATGAGGTATTGTTCTTCTGATCTGGGAAATTGATGACATTTTCAAATTATGAGCCAGGAAGCTTAAATTCATAACTTTGCTGGACATTAAAAATCCTGACCTATTAAAGACACTGGATTTATGGTTTATTATCACAAGTACTTATTATCACAAAGACACTGGATTTATGGTTTATTATCACAATGGTGTAATTGTGAAATAACCCATTAACGCCCCTCTTTTTCCTATGAGTGCAAGGGCGTTAATGGGTTATTTCAGCTTGAATGGTCCATTAGAAGACATGCTAATGACTTGTGCTAAACTTTCTATTTGATCTCTTATTTAGCTGTGTGATAGAGATGCAGCCATTGTTAGTCTGGTCTAGCTGAAACAAAAGACAGGAGTATGCAGCACTTTGAAGACTAACAAGAGGATTTATTACTCATCACCTAATAAACCATCTTGTTAGTCTTTAAAGGGCTGAATACTCCTGTCTTTTATTTAGTTGTGGCACTCTGAGCACCTTTCCCAGACCTGAAGAAGAGCTCTATGGAGCTCTAAAGCTTGTCTCCCACACCATCAGAAGCTGATCCAATAAAAGATATTACCTCACCCATCTTGTCTCTCTAATATGCTGGAACTAATAAGGCTACAAAAATACCACATCCAAAAAAAAGTTAAAAACATTTTAAAAACTTATTCCATATAAAGAATTAAATTAAGATTTCAAATATACAACATGAGCTGATGAGGCTTGTCATTGACCGGACAAAGTCATTTTGCATAGATTACACTTATAGGAAAGTTCAAGAAATTAAATCTATGTACTAGAATTTGTATTAATGTGCTTGCAAAAGAGAAGTAAAAGAACAGTTTTAAATTGGTAGGATTTCAACTTCAAACATTATTAATTCTATTGAAAAATACTGCACATAGTAAATTTGAATCAGAAACTCATAAAGCTTCCACTACTGTTCCCGTAACTAATTTGAATTATTTTGTGATTTGTAACAGTAAACATTTTCTTTGCACTGAAATGACAGTTGAGTAGGGGTACGTCTACACTACAGCGCTAGTTCGAACTAACTTAGTTCGAATTAGTTAATTCGAACTAAGCTAGTTCGAACTAACGCATCTAGAACTAAAAACTAGTTCGAACTAGCGTTTTGCTAGTTCGAACTAGTAAGTCCACATTGAGTGGACTCTGAACAGGGCTTAAGGATGGCCGGAAGCAGTGCCGGCAGGGCATAAAAGGAGGACTTAGAGCATGGAGATACTGTCTCAGGCTAGCCGAGGGCTGCGCTTAAAGGGTCCCGACCCCCACCCCGGACACACAGTTCTAAGGGGTGCCCCGCTTGCAAAGAAGTTCTGGCTTGGAGTGCCCTGAGTGCCCACACTGGGCACATCACACCACTCGGCCATCAGCCCGGCTGCACTTGCCGCAGGCTGCCATCTGGGGAGAGGGAGTAATTGGGGGGCTGCAGGAGAGCTTCCACCCCCAGAAGCCCGCAGAGCCAGCCCAGTCCTCCCCATCGGGGGCTCGTACCCCATTCCTCCCTCACCTCCTTCCACTTACCCTTCCCTAGCCCCCCTTCTTATTGATGTACAAAATAAAGATAACGTTTCTTCCAACATTGACTCTGTCTTTATTGAAAAAAACTGGGGGAGACTGGGAAAAGGAGGTGGGAGAGGGGAAGAGAAAGGCTGGGAGAGGGGAGGGCAACTAACATGATCAGGGGTTGGGAACAGGTCCCAGATGAAGAGAGGCTACAGAGACTGGGACTGTTCAGCTTAGAAAAGAGGAGACGGAGGGGGGACAGGATAGAGGTCTCTAAAAGCAGGGGTTGGGTGGAGAGGGTGCATTCAGAAAAGTTCTTCATGAGTTCCCATAAAGAAGGACTAGAGGACACCAAAGGAAAGGAATGGGTAGCAGGCTTGAAACTAGTAAGAGAAAGTTGTTCTTGACAAAGCAAATAGTTAACCTGTGGAACTCCTTGCTGCAGGAGGCTGTGAAGGCTACAACTAGAACAGAGTTTAAAGGGAAGTGAGATCAAGTCATGGAGGTTGGGTCCATGGAGTCCTATTAGCCAGAGGGTAGGAGTGGTGTCCCTGCCCAAAGTTTGTGGAAGGCTGGAGAGGGATGGCACGAGACAAATGGCTTGATCACTGTCTTCGGTCCATCCCCTCCAGGGTCCCTAGGGTTGGCCGCTGTTGGCAGACAGGCTACTGGGCTAGATGGACCTTTGGTCTGACCCAGTACGGCCATTGTAAGCTCAGGGCTCAGGGTCGGGGGTCTCAGTGGACCCCCTTGATTTTCATGCACACCTGGTCCTGGGTGGCCAGGCTGGCAGCTCTCCTGCCCTAGACGGCCACTTTCCTGTGCCTAGTGCAGAGATCGTGGACTTCTCCTCCTACTGCCTCGCTCTCTCTCTCTCTCTCTCAGCTCTCATCCATCTCCTGCCTCTCTCTCTGCCTCTCTCTCTTTCTCTTCTCCCCCTCCCGCTTTTTACTCTGTGTTTCTTTTCTCCTCCTACTGCTGCATCTCTTACTCTCTCTGGGTATGTCTACACTACAAAGTTAGTTCGAACTAACGTAACTTTAATAGGTGCTACACTAGCGCTCCGCTAGTTCGAATTTGAATCGAACTAGTGGAGCGCTTAGTTCGAACTAGGTAAACCTCATTTTACGAGGACTAACGCCTAGTTCGAACTAGCTAGTTCGAACTAGGCGTTAGTCCTCGTAAAATGAGGTTTACCTAGTTCGAACTAAGCGCTCCGCTAGTTCGATTCAAATTCGAACTAGCGGAGCGCTAGTGTAGCACCTATTAAAGTTAGTTCGAACTAACGTCTGTTAGTTCGAACTAACTTTGTAGTGTAGACATACCCTAGGTGACTTGATTTTAATTTTGCTAGCAAATATTTTTATGAACTCTAATCTTAATAGTCATGACTTTTTTTCTGATGAAAAGCAAAAATAATTATTTAAACATTTCACTCAGCATATTCTAGTGAAAAAATTAGTGCATTCAGCTAATTTAAGTGGCAGGATTATTTTTACAAATTTGGTATCTGTAGGCAATTATGAATTTTGACTTTATTTTGCAGAAACAAATCCACAAAATCACTCTTCAAAATATATAATAGATATTAGCTTGTAACTCTTTAATACTGCAAACATGTTACACATGCTTGTAATATACATGATTCTATTAAAAAATTATACCAGTCTCTAAAATACTGCACATCAAATATGCTGCAGTTGGAGCTGCTAGTAGAAAATTTTCTGAGAACCTAGCTTGTTTATCAATGCTAATCCTACAATATACCAAGCCGTAAGATCTGGAACAGATGCTGACAGCACTATAAACAACTAGTCAGCAAAACTGGATGGGAATTTTCCAGGCAAAAAATTTTCGAATGGAAATGTTTCTGTCTGCAGGGAGAAAAATGAAATTGACATGAGCTTCCTGGTTGGCACTTCTCTGAGCTGCAGTTGGACTAAGTAGATGCCAGAGGAGCTGGGCACCCTGGATACATGCATACCATACAGTATCTCCAGCAGATAGATGAGTGCTCAGGTTCCAACTGGTTCTCATCAATTTATAATTATCTCCTAAAAACCAGAGATTGTGTAGACGGACTTGATTTGGGGGCAAAGTAGGAAGTGTCTGAATCTGAATTAGGTTAAATTAGAGTATGAGACTGAATCAAGGTTATGATTCCTGTTGGTGGTGTTAAAGTCCCATGAGCCATTCTTGCAATTTTAGCTCAAAATGGTTTCTGTACACATATAGTATATTTTAACATTTGTTATACAGAGCAACTAGAAGCATTGGTTAGAATCAGGCAGAATAATGACAAGCATAATAAAAATTTCACTATACACAAACTTCAATAAATCTCTAAATCTAAACTGTGGTCTGTAAAAGCCTAGATGTTTGAGGTAATGATCTTACCCAAATTGTGCTGAACTCTGGTGGTTTATTTTTTGCGCACATACTCAGACACTTTTACTAGAGAGAGGGTGTAACCAAATTCGTATATTTTACTACCTAAGGTAGTGCATTAACCTACTGTACCGCTTAGTCCACAGAGACTCTGAGGGTATGTCTACACTGCAAAGTTTTTTTTTCAGAAAAAACAGTTGTTTTTCTGAAAAAAACTTCACGTACATCCACACTGTTCTTTCGACAGAAAGTTGAAAGAATGGAGCGGTTTTTCCAACATTGGTAAACCTCTTTCTATGAGGAAGAAGTCTTTTTCCGAAAGAGCCTTTTTGAAAAAAGGCATGTGTGGATGGGGAAGAGAATTTTTTTTCTAAAGAAGAGGCTTCCAGGAAAAAGCACAGGTGTCCTAGTGGCCACTCCCATCCATAGTAATCACAATTTAAGTGTGAAATAGCATCCAATCAATGTGGACGCTCTCTTTCAAAAGGAGTTTTTCTAGACGATCTCTTCCGGAAAAGCTTCTTCTGAAAGAAGCCTGCAGTCTTGACATAGCCTGAATGGTAAAAAAATTAAACTGTCTAAGACATGTAGCATTCATTAAATCATATTTAGTTTTCAAGAAAAGCTAAGTACTGGGATATAAAAATGAACCCTTGCGGTTAAATTATCAAAAATTAAAAGCTTTCAATATATGGCTTGATACAAATGTATTAAAATCATTTTATAGGAATTATAAAATGAACTGTGAATAAAGGGCATATTTAACATTTACCTCAATATTGCAATCATTATAATCTAATAAGTGAT